GGGGGGGGGGGGGGGGGGGGGGGGGGGGGGAATGAAATGCTTTGTTTTGATGTGGTCTTTCTGTCTTTCTGTTAGGTTGATGAGCTGCTCTATGGACAGTCTGAAGTTTGTCACGTCCTGGAGGGGTCAGATTGCTGAAGCTAAACTACAAGTGAAGGTACAGAAGCTCATGTTTAACAGGATTGAACTGAACTCTGCCGGTCCGTGTTAACTGAACTCTCTCTGTCTGTAGGTTGGCGGCTTGCAGTTGGAAGGTTGTGCTTTTGATGGAAATCATCTGGCTGAGAGCCATCATGACTCTCCCAGTGTGTCTGCCGTCCCTGCGTGTTACATGGCCTGGATCCCGCAGGTAACACACACACACACACACTTTCTCCTCTGATGTTTTCAGTGAAGGCTGTGCGTTATAGAGTGTGTGTGTGTGTGTGTGTTTCAGAGTGCCGTGGGAAGTTATTCTCCGGACGAGTGCATCTCCCTGCCTGTGTACAGCAGCGCCGAGCGTCAGCGTGTGGTGACAAGCGTGCAGCTGCCGTGTGCTGGAGATCATGACACATGGATCCAGAGCGGAGCGGCGCTCTTCCTCAAACAGCAGTAACACACACACACACACTGTGGCATTTACACAATCCATTTATAATGTGAGCACTTTATATGCTCGCCCTGCTTGTCTTTGGCTGCATATCGTGGTGTTTTTGTCATGATCGCTGCACTAAAGCTGCTGTGAGACGATAGTTTTAATCAGTCTTGTTGCAGGTATTTATATTATTAAATAAAAGAGTTTTTCATCAAGATCCATCCCTCTCTCTCCATTTAATTTCAGTGCAATTTTAGTACTTGACATTGCAGCATTTTGTAGTACGACAAAAACTGTACGTGCATATATCGATGCAACTGCAACTCGGCTGTGTACAGTGAGAAATCCATGCAAAATTGAACAAATTAAACAAATAATTAAAAACCAAATAAAATCAGTAATGAAAGAGACAGAAAAAAAATAGTAGAAAATACAGATATTTAATACAAATACAAATAAAAAGGGAAAAAATACAATAGATTCATGAATTTAACGAACAGGAAATCATTTCAAAGATGATGTGTGTTTCTTATTTAATATTCTTTATCTTATTAGTGTTATATTAACTAAAATTAAAACCATAAAAATTAAATAAATATTAACTAAAATAAAATATTGTAAATGTTTTCATGTAGTTGCGAAGGCAACTTTTCACATTTTCATTTAATTTAATTTGATGCACTAAAATAACTAAAACTGAAATGAAAATGAATAAAAACTATAGACATTAAAAATTAAATAAAAATGGCAAAAACAACAAAATTACTAAAACTTTAACTAAAATTAAAATGAAAACGGAAAAAATACAAATTCAAAATATGAATGAAAACGGAAAAATATCTCAGTGATGTTAAAATAACACTGTCTCTTATTCAAACATTGTTAAGACACTTAGGTTGGGCTGTGCAACAACTCGGAACACTTTGGCAACTATTTAACAGCCTAACCTAAGTGTCTTTCCTTATGGTTTTGCTCATTTTGTGAACGAGTCAAAAAGAAGATTGTGGATTTTTGTCACATTGGAAATGAAAGTCAAGATATGTCATGCTGGCTGTTTGCTGCACATTTTGACAAATGTAGTTAATCATCTGGGTTTTGTACTGTGCTCAGTATCCATACTACAGTAAGAGTACAGAGAGAGAAGTACAGTACGCCTGTATGCTGATCTGAACGGACTGTCTCTGCTGAGACTGAAGGGGTTTGTTTGTGTCTGAATTATTTACATTAGTGATGAATATTTTGTTAAGTTTCATTCTGCCAGCCGCGTCCTGTTTAAGAATCTCACTGCTGTCTCACCTTCAGCACAAACACAGCGTTAGGATGGAGAAGTGTGTGTGTGTGTGTGCGCGCGCGCATCACCAAACATTCTGTCCTCATTGGCTGCATCAGACTCTCACTGTTACCATGGAAACCATTTAGCGATACAAGAAAAATGGCTGAAACCTTTATTTCTATAGTAGTTCTGTTTTATATAGAATTTATATTGTAATATTTTATGTATGATTTTTATTTTATGTTATTTATATTTGTAATATTTTTTGTTGTAATACATTTTTATTTTTTCTTGTATAAAATAGTGTCTTTAAAATATATTCATATTTTATTTATAATTTTAATATTTGATATATTGTTTATATTTTTTATATTTATACATTAGTTTTAATTTTTATATAGAATTTATATTTTATCATTTATATAATTTTATACATTATTTTTATATGGAATTTATGTTTGAATATGTTTTATATTTATTATTATTATTTATATTTGTAATTTTTAATCGGAATACCATCTACATCATCTTTAATCTTGTACTCTTAACAAGCAGTACTGTGGTATTACTACAGTATAGTGATGGTAATTTTATGGTACACATGGTAAACATATTTCTATATCTATATTTATATTAGTGTCCATTTGCTCCGGCTGTAACATACTGCTGTCTGAAAGCTTTATTTTAGCGTACTGTTTGACATACTGGTTCGTAAAAGCAGTCGTGAGTGTGCAGTACATTAGTATTCATCTTTCAGTGCATCTGAACGACCTTTGACCCACACTCATGTTAAAGAGGTCAGCTGCCCTCTGGACTCATCTGTACAGCAGCAGGTATGACGCGTGACCTGTGACCTCTGTGATGCGTGTGAGATCAGGATGCAGATGATGGGCGTGGCATTTCTCCTCTGATCCTCCTTTTCCTTTACAGAGGAACAGAAACATCCTCATTCACTCCTGAGGAATTTCTCCATGCTATTAGATTGTGATACAGCGAGTGTATAAGATGGTAATACTATGGTATTTAGAAATACACTGTGCTACCACTAGGGTACTTTGTGTGTGTGTGTGTGTGTGTGTGTGTGTATATATATAATTTTACTTGCATTTTTAGTATTGTATATTTTATATATGAATATGCTGCTCATACTGTACAGTGCCATGGTTTTTACCATCACTGTACTACGGTACTGCTGTAGTGTTGCTTTATATGAGATCCTTGTCTGCGCGTGTGTGTGTGTGTCTGTGTGTGTGTGTCTAGTCGCTGTGACATCAGACCGCACTCACACACACACACACACACACACACTCATTTAGACTGACATTATCCTGTTTCCGTGTCTCTTTTCTTGAGGGTGAGTCGTGAGATCTGATTAGTTGCCCTTTTGGTGGAGGCTTTTCACAAACACACACTCAGAGTTTTGGAGCTTCTTGACTTTTCAGATGGAGAGGCTTTTTATCCGCACATCAAAGGTCAGTATGTGTGTGTGTGTGTGTGTGTGTGTGTGTATATATATAATTATTTTTAGATTTTTAGTATTGTATATTTTATATATGAATATGCTGCTCATACTGTACAGTGCCATGGTTTTTACCATCACTGTACTACGGTACTGCTGTAGTGTTGCTTTATATGAGATCCTTGTCTGCGCGTGTGTGTGTGTGTGTCTGTGTGTGTGTGTCTAGTCGCTGTGACATCAGACCGCACTCACACACACACACACACACACTCTCATTTAGACTGACATTATCCTGTTTCCGTGTCTCTTTTCTTGAGGGTGAGTCGTGAGATCTGATTAGTTGCCCTTTTGGTGGAGGCTTTTCACAAACACACACTCAGAGTTTTGGAGCTTCTTGACTTTTCAGATGGAGAGGCTTTTTATCCGCACATCAAAGGTCAGTATGTGTGTGTGTGTGTGTGTGTGAGAGAGAGAGAGAGAGAGAGAGAATACTGGATTTTGGTGTTTGTGGAATTTCAAATCCAAGCTGCAACATAAATCTAAATGCTGACCTTTAATCCCACACACACACAAAAACACACACACTCACACACACAGCATCCACCTGTAACTGGACAGCAGTACTTCAGAGGTACTAAAACATAAATTATAATACACTATTACCATGGTAAATGTAGGGAAAAACATGGCTGATCAATAGTAAATGTAAAAAAAAACATGGTAGTAGTTACATGAAATATAAATTCAAAAGAAAAAAAAACAAGGTAGATCCATAGTAAAAGAAACGGTACATGACAACATGATAATTAACATGAAATGTAAATGTAAAGAAAACATTATGGTTCCATAAAAATGTAAAAACAAACAAAAAAACATGGTACTTCCATGATATATACAAAAAATTTGGTATTTCCATGGTAAATGTAAAAGAAAATAATAAAATCAAATAAAAATGTTAGTTCCATGATAAATATACTAAAACGTGGTATTTCCATGTTTAATGTAAAAAAAACAACAAAAAAATGGTTCTTCCATGACACGTAAAAGAAAAAAACAGTACTTCCATGGTAAATGTAAATATATAATAAATAAAAAAAACATTGTAGTTCTTTGGCAAATATAAAAAACAATATTTCCATGGTAAATCTAAAAAAAACAAACATGGTAGTTCAATGGTTAATGTAAAAAAATGGTTAAAAAAGAAACATGGTAATTTTCAGTGCTTTTATATAAGTGATAATTGTTGTATAAGTTTGTGATTGTCTAATTGGACTGGAATTGAACCGGAGTGTGTGTGCGTGTGTGTGTGTGTGTGTGTGTGTGTGTGAGTGTGAGTGTGACGTGTGTGTGTGTGTGTGTCCTGTTCTCACACACACAATCAAACTGCAAAACAGGAAACAGAGCAGAGGAATGCCGTGTGTTAGGAAACCACAGACCTGCGGGCCGAGTGTGTGTGTGTGTGTGTGTGTGTGTGTGTGAGGTGATTTTGATTGATTTTCTTCATTAATTTCCCTCTTCCTGTCATAGTTCATTTCTCTCATGGTTGTCTGTCAGCAGACGCCCTCAGCGCCTCTGATTTAAATGCACCACAGAGACGTGTGTTTAGAGCCAGAAATCATCGTTTCCTCACCTTAACATCATTCTAAACCCACAAAAGAAGATGTTGAGCTGAATGTTCACGCTGCTCTCTTTCCTACTGGACGGGAAGCTCAACATCTCCTTTCATGTTCCTCAGAGGAGCTCCTAGAGGTTTAGAACCACATGACGGTGAGAAGATGATCAGATCCGTCATTTGAGAGTGAATTATTCCACGCTTGTTTAGCTGCAGGATCTTTATGTAATGTTCACAGATGGAAAGAAAATGAGAAATGAGATGTCACATGAAGAAATCGAGAGAGAAAGACACAAACAGATGGAAAGGCGAGTTCGATTAACTGTGTGTGTCTCTGCTCGTGTAATCGCACGACTGTTTTAAAGATGGAAAGTCTCACTGTCAGAGGATGCCATCGTGTCTTTAGTATGTGACCGTCGTGAGCAGTATGCAGATTTACAAAGATAAGTGTTCTTTATTTGCGTTGATGGTTCCCTGCAGAACCTTTAACGTCCATGGAAACTTTCTATTGCACAAAAGGTTCTTTATAGTGGAAAAACGGTTCTTCAGATTATTCAGATGTTCTTTACACTAAACATGGTAAATGTAAAAAAACACGGTACTTCCATGAAGTGTAAAAAAAAAAGAAGGTATTTCTATGATAAATGTAAGTGTAAAAAAAAAGAAGATAGTTCCATGGCAAATATAAAAAAATGGTATTTCCATAATTAATGAAAAAACATGGTATTTCTATAGTAAATGCAAAAAACATAATTCCATGGTAAATGTAAAAAAAAAAAAACGGTACTTTTATGTAAGTGATAGTTAGGCCAGTCTCAATAATCAATATATCGACTTATCATGCAATATATGTA